CAGGACCTCATCCCGCCAGTGATAAAAACAATCCCTTTACGATTCTCATTTTGATGACAGATGAAATCAGCGTATGCTACGGTTTAAACCGTCATCAATTTGAATTTCACCAATTCTCATACACAGCAACGTACGGAGTTTTGAATTCTTGCTTTTTAATACTAACTCAGAAATAATCGTATTTTTCCGCAATAGCTTTCTTTGCAAATCGGTATGAAATGCCAACACTAAAATGAGTCACTCACAGCGCAAAAGAAAAGCGCAAGGAGCGAGTAGGAGAGGGAGGTAAAAAAAAAGAAAATGAGAAAATTCATCCAGTCGGCAAATTTTGTCTGCCAAAAAACAGGAACATTTTTAGCGGAAGTGAATATTTACACAGAAGTATGTTGAAAGATGTACCGTCAAACTAAGAAGTTTATTCTTTAAGCAAATGACCTTTTTTTTTCTTCTGCCAGTTACTTTTAATCAGCAAATTTGACTTAGGTACCATACCTGACGCTCAAATTCCTGGCCAGTCATTAATTATCCCAAGAAAAATGATTAAAGACTTGTTATATAGTGTTGCCCAGGGTTAAAAAAACGTTATCCAAAAAGCTATTAAGGTTACTACTTAATATCCAAAACTTACTATTTAATATGTAAAAAATAATCCGCTACTTAATGTCACAACATTTGTTGCATAAAATTTAATTCCACATATAACAAATGGAACTACAACAACTGAAGACGAATAAATCATACAAAAGATTTTTTCTTTTTTTGCGTTTGATAATTAACTTAATTTGTTTATTTGCTAATTTAGTCATTCTATTCAAATTCCATAAAATCTATTCGATAGTGCAGTGATCCAATGAGAGACGGAATGATGCAGAGTAAGTATTTGTGCCATGCGACAAACTTCCGATAAAATGTTACAGCTCAAGGTTGACGTGGAAAGCCTTCCTGGAGCAGCGCGCCGGAACGTGGGGGTGAGGAAAAAAACCGGACAGATAAAGTAACTGCTGAGTGATTTGAAGGTGCATGTTAGATGGCACCATATTAGATAGAGTTTATTACTGCCACTCATAGGCCTACTCTGAGTACAACTGATGCGATAAACTCAAAATCGAGACTAGTTGGAAACGAAGCCATCTGCAACAACACTGCAAATATATGCCACAGAGTTGCTCAAATCACTAACTCATTCATTCATTTACGAATATAACTTACGCTGATTCAGTTTTTCGGCATCTTCGCGCAGTTTTGCTTCGTTGTTTAGTTTGTTCTCCAAGTCGGCAAGTTCCTGTGTCAGTGCATCTTTTTGCTTGCTGAAACCCAGATTAGTCAAATTCCCAACTTACTGGATGACATCAAGCTAGTGCTTATTTATTTATTCGTTGCTAATTTCATCCAGTTACTGAACTTACATTTCTTCTGCGTAACACAGGAACACTAGGAGGCTTCTGAACAGCTGATGCAAGTGCTTAATGCGGATGATG